TTCTCCAGTTCCCCAATGTTCTTTTTGTGAATTGGTGCCCAAAACTGAACTGCATATTCCAGATGAGGGTCTTACTAATGATTTGTACCGGGGAAATGATATCTCTCTCTGGAGTCTATACCTCTTTTAGTACATGAGAGGATTTTGCTCGCTTTAGAACCCGCAGCTTGGCATTGCATGCCATTGTTAAGCTTGTGATCTACCAGAACCCCCAGATCCTTCCCCACCATTGATTCCCCCAGTTGTACCCCCCCCCCCTAGTATGTATGATATGTATGATAGATGCATATTCGGAGCCCCCAAGTGCAGAACCTTACTTTATCAACAATAAACCTCATTTGCCACATAGTTGCCCAATTACACAGAGCATTGAGGTCGCCTTGTAAATTGGAGACATCCTGTAAGGACGTTATTCCCCAGCACAGCTTGGTGTCATCTGCAGAGACTGAAATGGGATCTATAATCCCAGACCCGATATTGTTTATAAATATATTAAAAAGTAAGGGTACCCCAACACTGAACCTTGGGGTACACCACTGACACCCCGAGACCATTCAGAGTATGAATCATTAACCACTACTCTCTGAATACCATCTTTTTATCCAGTTTTCTATCCATTTACATACGGATTTTTCCAAGCCTGTAGACTTTACCTTACACATTAGCCGTGTGTGGGGGAATGTGCAATCGCATTTGCAAAATCCAAGTATACCCCACGTGCACCGCCACCCCTCTGTCCAAGTATACCACGTCCACCGCCACCCCTCTGTCCAAGTATACCACGTCCACACCGCCACCCCTCTGTCCAAGTATACCACGTCCACCCGCCACCCCCTCTGTCCAAGTATACCGCGTCCACCGCCACCCCTCTGTCCAAGTATACCACGTCCACCACCACCCCTCTGTCCAAGTATACCACATCCACCGCCACCCCTCTGTCCAAATATACCACGTCCCCCGCCACCCCTCTGTCCAAGTATACCACGTCCACCTCCACCCCTCTGTCCAAGTATTCCATGTCCACTGCCACCCCTCTATCCAAGTATACCACATCCACCGCCACCCCTCTGTCCAAATATACCACGTCCACTGCCACCCCTCTGTCCAAGTATTCCACGTCCACCTCCACCCCTCTGTCCAACTATTCCATGTCCACAGCCACCCCTCTCTCTAATGTTTTGCTCACCTTCTCATTGCTGTCTTATACTTTTTCATTTTATGCCCTTTTTATTTTGTTTTTTTTTCTTTACATTTTTTTTCATTCCCTTCTTTTTTCTCTTTCCTTTCCTTTCCATCCCTTTGCTTTGCTGTCTTATACTTTTTCCAATTCTTGCCTTTTTAATTACCTTTTCTTTTTTATTAGCATTTTCTTTAATTTCCTTCCTTTTTCCTTTTCTTTTATATTTTCTTTTTTTTTTCCTTTCCTTTTTCTTTCCCTTTCCTCTTTCTTTCCCTTTCATTTCTTCGGTTTCCATAAATTAATTTTTTTCCCTTTTCTTTTTTTCCTATTGCTACCCCTTTTCTTCCATTTCTTCCACTTTCCTTTCCTTTCCTTTCCTTTCCTTTCCCTTTTCTCTTTTCCTTTTATTTCCTTTGCTTTTCCTTTTCTTCCCCTTTCTTCTTTCTTTCCCTTTCATTTCTTCAGTTTCCAAGTTTATTTTTTCCTTTTCTTTCTCTTTCCTTTCCTTTTTTGTTTCCTTCCCCTTTCTTCTTTCTTTCCCTTTCATTTCTTCACTTACCATACTTATCTTTTTCCCTTTTTTTTTTCTTTTTTTTTTATCTTTTCTTTCCCTTTTTCTTCCATTTGTGCCTCTTTTGATCCCCTTTCCTTTCTTTTTCTTTCCACCCCTTTCCTTTGCAATATTATACTTTTCCATTTTATGCCCTTTTTATTTCCTTTTCTTTTTTTCTTAGCATTTTCTTTAATTTCCTTCCTTTTTCCTTTTTCTTTCCTTTCCCTTTCTTTTCCCTTTTATTTTATATTTTTTTTTATTTTTCCTTTTTCTTTCCTTCCCCTTTCCTCTTTCTTTCCCTTTCATTTCTTTGGTTTCCATGTTTATTTTTTTTTCATTTTCTTTTCTATTCTTTCCCCTTTTCTTCCATTTTTACCCCTTCCTTTTCCTTTCCTTTCCTTTCCTTTTCTTTCCTATACTTTTCCATTCCTTGCCTTTTTTATTTCTTTTCTTTTTTTCCTTTGCATTTTCTTTAATTTCCTTCCTTTTTCCTTTCCTTTCCTTTTCCTTTCCCTTTTCCTTTTCCTTTTCCTTTCCTTTTCCTTTTCCTTATCTTTCTTTTCCTTTCCTTTTCATTTCTTCAGTTTCCATACTAATTTTTTCCCTTTTGTTTTTATTTTATTTTCCTTCCCTTTTTCTTCCATTTGTACCCCTTTTGATCCCCTTTCTTTCTGCCCCTTTCCTTTACTGTCGTATACTTTTCCATTTCATGCCCTTTTTATCTCCTTTTCTTTTTTTTCTTTACATTTTCTTTCATTTCCTTCTTTTTTCTCTTTCTTTCCTTTCATTCCATTTTTACTTTACTTTCTTTTGTTTTTTTCCTTTTTCTTTCCTTTTTTTTCATTTCTCTGTTTTCTATTCTCCTTTAATTGAACCTTCTCTTTATTTTCTTCTCAGTTCCTTCCCCTTTCCTTTTCTTCCTTTACCCCGTCCCCTTCCCTTCTATGTCCCTTTAATTTTCCTTTGCTTTCCTTCCTCACTTTTTCTTTTCTCAGTTTCCTTTCTTTCTTATTTTGGTGTCCGTTTATGACACAGAGAATAGCTGTGATTCAACAGATCTCAGCTATTCTCTGGTCATTCACAGTTTATGACACTCAGGAGATCTGTGTTGTCCCTCCAGATTCTCCAGCCCAGAGCTGAAGAATCAGAGGGACCGAAAAACTAAGCAGAGATAATTTACCTCTGTTTAGTAAACTGATCTTTTACTGTAATCTCGCGAGATTATAGTAAAATGAGCCGTTTTCCAGAGTTTGTAGACCGTTCTCCAGCGTTTGGAGACCGTTCTCCCTTCGTTCGGAGAACTGCTTCATAAACTGCATTCACAGGAGAACTGTGTTCTCCGAGAATGCCGGAGAACTGAGCAGCGATCTATTACCGCTGGTTCATAAATGGACACCTTTGTTTCCTTCTATCATTTACTTCCCTTCTTCTCTGTTTTTTCTTTCTCTATTCCTTTCCTTTTTCTTTCTTCTTTTCTCCCCTCTCTTTCTAATCTCTAATGCTTTATCCATTTTCTCTCCCTCTCCTTCTTGTAGCACATTTCTCTAATAGTTAATGAATACTAGGCAGAATCTCCTATAATATGAGTCATAAATTAATTTCTTGTTGGCACAGACCTATTGTGTTCTCCGTATTACATGTTCCAAGCTGCAGTTTTTATGAGCAGATTCCTTGGAGTTCTGTACCTTCCCAATAGCTTGTAAAAGGTAAATTCTGCCCCATATTCACTTCTTCCCTCCTCCTGCCACGTGATTCAGATGGTGTAGCAAACATTTCAATTATTCAAATGTAGTAAATTTAGGTCAAATGCCTTTTTTTTTTCTTTACAGTTCCTTGTTCTTTTGAAAATCCTTTTTTTATACATTTTTTGCACAGAAGCCAAAGTACGTATAATCTGCATCACAGAAAGGTTACATAGCAAATGGCAGTACATGGGTTACATAACCAATAATCAACTAGACAAGCAGCAAAATGGTAAAAACCGAGATAAGCATGAACAAAGTAAAATCACGTGAATGGTACTGTGTGGCCCCAACCGGCTGGTATGTCAATGGTCCAAACACAGGTACCAACAACACAGGCCACACGGGTAACCGGTCATCCAGAGATCTCAGAAATGTGAAATGGAGAACCTATCGAGGATCTCAGGCAACCAACTGGGAAAAGTAATTCAACAAGGGATTCCCCTTCAATTGGGAAATCAACAAAAAACTATAGTTACCCAGGGGAGACACGAAAAAAAAGGACAGTTCCTTGTTTTGCTTTCCAGGACCTTATTTCCCTTGAAATCTCTGATACTTAACACAATGATCCTGAATTATGAAATGTTTACCTGGAAAAATATTTTGATGTGACCTTTTCACTTTTTATTGATTATTATTTGCTTTCATGGTATATTTTACATACAGATTTAACCATTAGCCGCCCGGCCAATGGCCGTTTGGCGGCTTCAAAAGTGTTCCTGCATTCCGGGTGCACGCCATTTGGCGTGCTCCCGCACATGCGCAGTTTGCGCTAATGCAGAGCGGTGCAGCAGCGCGATCTGTCACCGGCCGTGCACCTCGGACACGGCCGATGACAGATCCGAGTACCGGCTCCATTGCTGGTACCATGTGACCTGCTGTGACCAATCACAGCAGGTCACATGACAGTTGTATACAATGGATGGCTTCATTCATGCCATCCATTGTATACTAGTGCCTAGCTGTGAATGGTCACAGCAGGTCACATGCACATGTCATGTGATTAGCTGTGACCAAATCACAGCTAAGCACAAAAAAAAAAAAAAAAAAAAAGCTGAATGAATCGATGTCATTCAGGTAAATGCTTGCTTATAGCAAAGTAATTCTTTGCTATAAGCAAATTGTGTAAAAAAAAAAAAAAAAAAAAAAAAAAATCACTTCCCCAAAGTAGTACAATGTTACTATGGTAACATTGTACTACTTTGGTCATAGTAAAATATGAAAAAAGAATCTTAGAAAAATAAAAAAAAAATGTAATAAAAAATTAAAAATAATAAAAAAATAAAAAAATATATATATATTTTTTTTTTCATACTGTCACCAGTCAGTGTCCCTGTTTACCGCCATGCCAGTTATATGATGACGCTGTACTGCACTGGTGACAATATGTAAAAAAAAAAAAAATAGTGAAAATAATTATTTTAATTTTTTCATTTTCCGAAAAATTATGACAAAAAAATACAACTTCAAAAAACTCGCCATTCCTCTTATGAAGTACGTTGGACTGTCTACTCTGCAAAAAAGGTGTCATTTGGGGGATATCTGTACTGTTCTGACATTTGGGGGATATCTGTACTGTCCTGACATTTGGGGGATATCTGTACTGTTCTGACATTTGGGGGATATCTGTACTGTCCTGACATTTGGGGGGATATCTGTACTGTCCTGACATTTGGGGGATATCTGTACTGTCCTGACATTTGGGGGATATCTGTACTGTTCTGACATTTGGGGGATATCTGTACTGTCCTGACATTTGGGGGATATTTGTACTGTTCTGACCTTTGGGGGATATCTGTACAGTCCTTACATTTGGGGGATATCTGTACTGTCCTGACATTTGGGGGATATCTGTACTGTCCTGACATTTGGGGGATATCTGTACTGTCCTGACATTTGGGGGGTATCTGTACTGTGCTGACATTTGGGGGATATTTGTACTGTCCTGACATTTTGGGGATATCTGTACTGTCCTGACATTTGGGGGATATCTGTACTGTTCTGACATTCTTGGACCTCAAGAAATTAGATTGGCTGTCAGTACTTCAGGATTGATCAATATTCAGATCTATACCATAGTTTGTGAACTCTATAACTTTCCTACAAACTAAATAATACATCCTAATTTGGGTTATTTTCACCAAAGACATGTAGCAGAAAACATCTCGGCCTAAATTTATGAAGAACAATTATTTATTTGTAAACTTTTATAACAGAAACAAAGAAAAATGTGGGTTTTTTTCAAAATTTTTGGTCTTTTTTTGTTAATTTAGCAAAAAATAAAACCCCAGCGGTGATTAAATACCACCAAAAGAAAGCTCTAGTTGTGTGAAGAAAATGATAAAGTTTTAGTTTGGGTACAATGTTGTATGACCGCGCAATTGTCATTCAAAGTGTGAGAGTGCTAAAACCTGAAAAATGGCCTGGGCAGGAAGGGGGAAAATTGCACGGTATTGAAATGGTTAAAGAGGCACCCCCCCATGGTTATTTCCATGTCAGAATGGGCATCAACATCTTCTGTGAATGACTGGTGGGGAACATTATGACATCATACGGTATGGTAAGCCATCTTTATGGGGATGGAATACTAAAAGCACAATAACTGCATCAGAAAATGCATGCAGCCACCACATCTATGGAAGTTTAAGCAGCAATATATTACTTTTTGGTTATTAGATTTAGATACGCTTTCATCTGAATGCCCTAGGTGCAAGGAAGCAGTGAAGCGCAGCCACTTTTTTTGGACCCCTAGGAGGTTTATGCCATAATGTGCTAGTATGCACTACATATGAGTATATTATGGCAGCACATATCTGTCAAACACAGCCCTCCAGCACTGCAGTGGCACTGCTCCAGCAGGTCCATGCTGCTTCCATCTTCCCCTTGGTCTTTCTTCTGTCTTTCATTTCTCCACTTGCTTTATTGGCCAGACCGTGATGACATCATTCTTGCCACATGCATGCGGGAGTCACTTTACCATGGAACAGAGAAGGTGCCATTAATGAAGTCTGAGCTGCACATTCATGGCTCAGATTGCAAAACTGCTATATATGAGGGGTCTTCAAAAAGTTTCTACCCCTTTGTATCTATTGAGTATTGGTTAAACGCCATGACCTACCTGAGTACTGTTGCTGGCCATGTCCATCCCTTTATGATTACAGTGTACCCATCTACTGATGGCTCCTTCCAGCAGGATAATGCATCATGTCCAGGGACGAACTGACAACTCATGGGGCCCCCTGGGCAATAGGGGATCATGGGGCCCCTGTGTCCTTGCCCAAACTCAAAAAAGCCTATGAAAAAGGTACCAGGGACATCTCATGGGGCCCCCTACTGACCCTGGGCCCTCGGGCAGTGCCCGAGTTTCCAAATGGTCAGTCCGCTGCTCAAAAAAATGTTCAAATATGCCCGAAAAAAAAACAAATGCTTAACCTCTTGCTGTCCGCCTGCTGTTTATAAACGTCAGGGCGGTGGCAGTCCAGGGGCGGGTTGCTGTTCATAAACGGCACCCTCCTTTTCTAGCTGTGCGCGCTCCCTGGGAGCGCGCACCACCGCGATCTGGTGCCCGCTGTGTCCCCTGGACACAGTGAAACACCGATCGTCGGACGGGACCTCTGTACGAGGTCCCGATCATGTGATCACTGATTGGCCAATCAGTGATCACATGCATAGTAAGCAAGATGTCACTTGTGACATCATTGCTTACTACGTGTGAAATCTGTGAATGATCACAGAGGTCACATGGTACAAGGCTATTCACAACAGCCTTGTACCATGTGACAAGCTGTGACCAGTCACAGCTCACTCAGTATTTCTCAATGACTGCAAGAATGCAGACAGAGAGAAAGAGAAATGATTGCTTTTACATCCTTTATGGGTGTAAAAGCAATCAGTGTAAAGAAAAAAAAAAATCTTCATCACCCCCCACAAGTAGTACAGTGTCACTTTGGTGACACTGTACTGCTAGGGTGACAGTATGTAAAAAAAAATAAAAATAAAAAAAATAATATAAAAAAAAAAAATAAAAAAAAATGTAAAAATTTTTTTTAAAAATTATAATTTTTGGTTATAAACTAATTTGGATTTTTTTTACTAAAAAAATAACGGAATAAATTTTGGCCAAGATTTATGATGAAATATTATTTATTTGCAAAATTTTATTAAAAAAAAAACTTTTTTTCCAAAAAATAAAAATCCCAGCGGTGAATAAATACCACCAAAATAAAGCTTTATCTGTTTCAAAAAAATGGTAAAAAATTCATATGGGTACAGTGTTGCTTGACCGCGCAATTGTCATTCAAAGTGTGATAGCGCTGAAAGCTGAAAATTGCCCTGGACAGGAAGGGGGGTAAAAGTATCCGGACAGGAAGTGGTTAAAGATACCTGAAAAATGCTCAGCTCAGTGTGAATGTAGCTTTAGTTGTCCCACAAATAGTTATTGATTCAGCCAGCGAAGTCCACCTAATGCAGCTTCCTGTGACGGGGTGGCAATGATGCTGCACTGCTTCTGAATTCAGAGCAAAGCTGCCACTCTCATGTAAGCAGCACCTGCCAGCACCACAGTGGGAGGAGATGGTGTTGCAGGGGGTGTGGCTAGTAACATTGAAACTGCTTTCAGTGACACCTAGTCCCGCCCACTCCTTCTGGATTGACAGCACACCCTCTGTTGCTGAACCGTGCCATTGTGAGCTGCAGTGTCTGGGAGGGGGAGCGCGTGAGATACCAGTGAAGGCGGATTTGGCTCAGTCAAAGTAAAGAATGTGTTTTGTTTAACGTTTGAGGCTTGTGCATCGCATAGTAACTGAGCAAATGACTTGTATAAACAGCCATTAGTTGTACTTTAACTGACTGCATTTTCAAGCAAGACTGGATCTAAACTATATGATCTGGGGGTGCAGTAAAATAAATCAGGGGGGCATAATGTCAATAGTGGAACAGAGATACAGAGAACCAGCCATTAGACTGGGATGAATAAACAGAACCTGTGCCCCCTTTTATTTCTCCTTATATTAAGAGTCCTCATCAGCAACAATTGCCCCTATCAGAGTGCCCATTCACATCAAATTCCCCATCAGAGTGGATAAAACATCCCCATTAAGTCTCATGTCTTACTGGATGCACTCTCAGAGATCTGGGGGGTCACAACTACAGTGCTCGGCATAAATGAGTACACCCCTTTTGAAAAGTAAGATTTTAATCAATCTCTCAATGAACACAAGAAAATTTTCCAAAATTTTGACAAAACTGAGTTTTTTAGAACATTTGTTTTGCTCATTACATGAAAGTAAGGTTCTTCAGTTTTACTCAAATTAGTTGATGCAAAAATAAATCCACCCCACAACAAAAATTACTACATATAGTATTTTGTATGACCTCCATGATTTGTAAGGACAGCACTAAGTCTTCTAGGCATTGAATGAACAAGTTGGCAACAAACTGCAACATCAATCTTTTTCCATTCTTCAAGAAAGGTTCTTCTTTAGAAGTCCAACAGTGGCCTTAGATGTGTGTTTTGGATCATTGTCATGTTGGAAAAAGTGCACGACAACACAGAGTGATGGTAGCGTCTTCTCTTTCATTATAGAGCAGTACATCTGTGAATGCAGCCCTACAGGACACCGCCACCACCATGTTTCACTGTAGGCACCATGCATTTTTCTCCTTTGCTCTTTGCTTTTTCTCTCCATGCATTGTACTCCTCACCTTTGCAGCGTCATACAGTTTTGAAGCCATCAGTTCCAAAAACATTTATCTTGGTCTCATCACTCCAGAATACAGAGTCCCAGTAGTCTTTTTCAGCATGGGCCCTGGCAAATTATAGGTGGGATTTTTTGTGCATGGGCTTTAGAAGAGGCTTCCTTCGTGGACGACACCCATGCATGCCATTCCTCTGCAGTGTATGCTGTATTGTGTCATGGGAAACAATCACCCCAGTTTGGCTTTCTGCTTCTTTAGCTAACTGCAGTGAACTTGCATGGCGATTTTCTTCAACCCTTCTCATCAGAAGATGCTCCGGTCAAGTTGTTAACCTCTGTGGACTGCCTGGACGTCTCTGTGAGATGGTTACAGTTCCATGTTTGTTAAATTTTTGTATCACTTTTGCTGCAGTATTCTGACTGATAATTAAAGCTTGCTGATCTTCTTGTAGCCTTCACCTGCCTTGTGTAAAGAAATTATTTTCTTTCTCAGGCCTTGTGACATTTCTCTTCCACGTGGTGCCATTGCTGACAGCATGAAATGGAAGGAGTTTTCTTTGCTAAGTAACACCCTTGTATAATCAACTGTCTGCTGGACACCTGTTTAATGAATAATTAGACTCCCCTGTAGTTGAATTCTTGTTAATTACGATTTTGATGTCTAAAATTTTGCTATCTTCTGAAACTTTCATTAGGATGTATTAATTTTTGCAACGTGGTCTTGAATTAATTTGTTAAGAAAAATACTGTTTTGTGTGTGCAAATTAACAAATCTTGTTTTCAATCAATGGCCCGCATTTGTGGGAGGATTTTGTAGTGTAGTGCCCCATAGAAAATGTTGGTTCTGAAAGGAAAGTAAAGGTTTTCTGACAAATCTGTTGGGGTGCACTCATTTATGCTGAGCACTGTAATATCTGGGGGGGGCACAGCCCACCCCAGCACGCCCCTAGATTTAGGCCTGTTCTCAAGTAATCCACAGGTTCTATTTTAAAGGCAAACTCTTTTAATAATGAAATAAAGGGCATACGTAGCTTTAACTTTGATATGAACCTTGACAGCTCTGTGTATCATGTCATAAATAATTTTCGTTAAAAAAAGGGAAACAAAATGTGTTTTGAACTTTGCTTCACCATTTGTTGCAACTCAGTGCTGCTGATCCTGTGATGGCTCCATGGCATTTCTCATGGTGGGTTTCCTGATAGTGACAACAGTGGACTATGCCCATGTAAAGTATGGCCACATTTAGTCTCCATTGGAAGCCTGCGGGAAAGAGTAATAAAGCAGGAGTAGGAATGGGAGACAATGATGGAACTTTGTCACTCCATGACTGAAGGTTCGGGAACAAGGCCTTTTATGGCAAGATAGAAGTATTATTTAAATTAAAGCTGAAGATACAGCATGCAAATACATTTTAGAAACTAGGAGCTTCCAGACTTGTGGTAACAGTTTGGGGAAGGTCCTTTTCTGTTCCAGCATGACTGTGCCCCTGTGTACAAAGCCAGCTCCATAAAGATATGGTTTGATGAGTTTGGTGTGGAGGAATTTGAGTGGTCTTCACTGAGAACTGACCACAATCCTACTGATCACTGACCATAAGGACATGGTCTGATGGGTTTGGTGTGAAGGAACTTGTTGGCCTGCACAGAGAATTGACCTCAACCCTACTGATCACCATCCATAAAGACATGGTTTGATGAGTTTGCTGAGGAGGAACTTGAGTGACCTGCACAGAGCCCTGACCTCAACCCTACTGATCACCATCCATCAAGACATGGTTTGATGAGTGTGGTGAGGAGGAACTTGAGTGACCTGCACAAAGCCCTGACCTCAACCCTACTGATCACCATCCATCAAGACATGGTTTGATGAGTTCAGTGTGGAGGAACGTAAGTGGCATTTTATGAGAAATGACTGCAACCCTACTGATCCTTATCCATAAAGACATGGTTTGATGAGTTTGCTGAGGAGGAACTTGAGTGACCTGCACAGAGCCCTGACCTCAACCCTACTGATCACCATCCATCAAGACATGGTTTGATGAGTGTGGTGAGGAGGAACTTGAGTGACCTGCACAAAGCCCTGACCTCAACCCTACTGATCACCATCCATCAAGACATGGTTTGATGAGTTCGGTGTGGAGGAACGTAAGTGGCATTTTATGAGAATTGACTGCAACCCTAGTGATCCTTATCCATAAAGACATGGTTTGATGTGGATGAACTTGCGTGGCCTTCACAGAAACCTGACCTCAACCCTACTGAACATCTTTGGGATGAATTGGGACACCAACCGTGAACCAGATCTTCTCAGCCAACATCAGTAATGTTCTTTTGGCTAAATGGGCAAAAATTCCACCATCCACCCTCCAAAGTCTTTTGGGAAACCATTCCAGAAAATTAGGGGTTTGCTATCACCATGGGGACAACCTATATTAATGGCCGTGGTTTTGGAATAAGATGTCCAACAAGCTCATATAGGTGTGATGGGCAAATGTCACAGTAGTTACACAGTTTCCAAAGTCCTGGGATTCCTCGTAATGTATTTCTAGCTCTGTAATGACAGATACTTGTGTTGTGTGTGATATATAATTTCAAATA